TTTATTATTTAAATTCATTTAATATTAACAATATCACAATCTATTCAAAGCAAACAAACTACTATAAATAAAGAGTCAAATTTGAAAGATTAGTGCACTTGCCTAAAGCAGAAACTAAGCTTGATGCACCAATTGCACTTATTTAATTGAAACTTTTTAAATTTTGAAAAAGAAAAATATATTATTAGTTAATTTAAATAATAAAATAATGAAAGAAAGTGAAAAATTTAGTTAAATTAACCAAGAAAGAAAGAAAAAATAAAAAACGCAATCAGAGTAAAAAGAAAAATAAATGAAATAAAAAGCTAATAAATAAATTAATTAATTAAAAGAGTTAGTTTGATATTTTGTTTTAAATAAATTAATTATCTCAATCCAAAACAAATTAGCTGTTTTTACCCAACAATAAGAGTCAAATATGAGAGGTTAGTGCATTATCCTAAACCAGAACTTAAACTTGATGAACCTTCATCACCAAATGATTTCAAACTTTTTAAATAAGATGAAAAAATATAGATGAAATAATAATAATAATAAATTAATTATTTAATTCATAATGAAAGCAAAATTTTAAAATTATAAAATGAGTTAAATTAATAAAGAGAGAAAGAAAGAAAGAAATAATCAAAAGCAGAAATAATTCAAAATAAATCCAATCAGTTTGTAATTTTTATATATTGAAGAAATAATACATAGTTAATTTTTAATAAAAATGAAGAAAAAATATAAAATATAAAATAATAAAAATTGTAAGAAAATTAACTTAAAATAATTTTTAAAATATTTCTTTAAACAAAAGTCAATTAATGAATAAATAAAGATAGGTAGATAGATAGATAGATGAGAATTTCTATTAGAAAAATAATATTGTAAATAACTTGAAAATTAAATTTTAATAATAATATTATTATCAAATTGAATGTACTTTAAATTCATATCTAGAGCCTAATGCGATTAAAATGAAGACTTTAAAAACTTTTTTTATTAATAACAATAAATTTAAACAATATTAATAAATAAATTCAAATTTACTTCTTCTAAACTGTTAAATGATTTTTTCTCTTATATCATTTTTTTTTTCAAAAATATTGAAAAGCAATTTAATTTATGAAAATTAAATATATTTTTATTATTATAATTTTTTTATGTATGTATGTATGTATGTATGTATGTATGTATGTATGTATGTGTAGCCAAATGCCATTCAAAAATTTATTGAACTTGCTATATATATCTAACAAAGAACATAAACTGCTTTGTAAACTAATTATAATTTTAACATATATAATATATTTATTATATTAGTTTTTATTTAAAAAATTTTTTAAAATCTCTTTAAGTTCTTCTTCATTATATTAATTTTATTATAAAAGGATTATTAAGAAATTCGTTAATAATATTTTGTTTCATGTACAAACGTGATTTATTTAGAATAATCTACCTAGTTATTTTAGAGAGAAACCTTAATTTTAGCTTTATAAATTAGGTAGTAAGTTATAGTTTGATATTTAATATGAGCTTGTAATATTATAAAATAGACTTAAGAGATGTATTTTAATATTAATTTTTTTTACCATTTTTATCATTCAAATTGAGGAATGATCAACAGAAGAAATATTTTTTTATTAAGACTTCATATTGAAAAAATATTAGCTTAAGACTTATCTTTATATCAGACATATTGTTGAACAATATAAATCTGATCTTATAGATTCAATAATAAATCAATAATCTTTAAGTTATTTAATACAAAGAATTTTGCAGAAAATTTTTAACTTCATTTATACTTTATTTTTTAATACTGAACTTACAAAAAAAGTAATGGGTTCGACAATGATTTACTTAAAGTTATTAATATCTATTTTATAAATTATTTAAATAAATATAAATTTTTCTTGTGATTTTTAATTAAAAATCATAATTAATACCTTTTTAATTTTTTAAGAATTAAATTAAAAAAATTATTTTATCTTTTTATAATTTATATATTAAATATAAATCTATAATAAATTAATTAATTCATCCTGTTAGATATTAAAATTTATTTGGGTTATATAGACACTTATGTTTAATTTATGAAAACTACCCAATTCGTCTTAATAACCCTTCAAAAAAAACAGTTCTTATTTACTTAAAATTAAAAGACATTTGCATGAATAAGTAAATAATACCTCACCAATTTAAAATCAGAAACTATTAAAAATGATTAAGAAATGCTAAAAATTTACTTATTAAATAAAATACAAGAAATTTTTTTATAAATAAGCTAAAAATGTTGATAGTATTTATTTTATTTTGTTAAGACTGTTCTAAAAGATCAAATAATTTGTTCATAGATGCTTTTAATTAAAAAGCAGAACATTAGATAAAATAAAATTTTGACTATTAAATTATTTTATGACTTATTAAATAAACTCAGATAAAACATTCTTTTATATTTTAGCATTTTTATTTTGATTTTTTTATTTCTGTTTATCTATTTTTATATTTGAGCTTTTAACATGAATAATTTAAATTAGAGTTTTCGAATTTTGTTGAAAAATTTATATTGTGTGTGTATCTAGATTTAGCTAATCAGAAAATAATCAGAAATATCTAAATAAAAATAGTTAAATATAATCCACTCTCAATTTAATCAAGAAAATAGACAATACTTAATAAATTAATCTATTTGAATGATCTAAGGAAAATCTATTCTGAATAAACTTGGCAAACTTCATGAAATACAATATGCAATTATAAATATACAATTAAAATATGATTTTAAATAAATCGATTTCATATATAAAAGTTAATTAACTTATCATTATAATTAATTATTATAACTAATTATTCATTTTTATTTAGACTATTTAGTTTTTTTCTTTTTCAAACAAATCACTGTATGATTTATTTAATATGATCTCTCTCTAATTCAAATAATATTTGAATATCAATTTTCGATTCTACAATAAAAGAAATTGATTATCAATTTTATAATAAAATCTATCAACTCTCAATTTTATATTGTTAAAAATAAATTTTTAAATAAAGTAAAAGATAATTTTTTATTGTAAATGTTTATAATATTATTTTTTTATTAGTGTTTTGTATATAAAAATATGGTTTTAAATAATTAAGATATTATTTAATATGATATCTTCTTGTGTTATGATTGATTTAGATGATTTAATTGAGTGTTATTAGTTCAATTTTCCCCTTCTAACTCTGAAATCGATTGATTTATGATGATTAATTTAATCACTGAACTTTACTATTTAATCTTTATCTATCTAATATATAGAGTTTGAGATTGATTTATGCTAAATTAATTAAAAAATTTAATTACTTAATTCGATCTTCTTCTCTTTTATAAGAAACGATTTTTTATTAATTTTGAAAAGGAATACTTACACTTTTTTGCTTAATGAAATTGAAATTTGTATGTTTAAACTAATAAATAAAACCCTTAATAATATTCATTTTATTATTAGATGAAATAGTATATCACCATAATGTACTGTATATTTTTTTAAATTTTACTAATTTAGTAAAGTAGCGGCTATAGATCAAGATTAGTTCAATTAAATTTTTAAATTAATATTTTTAATTTTGTTGTGGCTATTTATACTATTTAAAATTTTATTATTAAACATAAAAGGTATTTTTCATTTAATAATGACATTCGCTTATTTTCCAAATTTTTTAGCTTGAAAATTCTGGAAAATTTATCAAACTTCTAAGAATGGGAACTAATAACAAGAGAAATCAAATCATTATATAAATATCCAGATAGCTATAGCAAAATCATACTAACTTCAATTACAAAACTGAAGATTATACTAATTACCCCAAGACAACTAGATAAAGAAGAATGGGCAATTATGACCACAAAAAGATTTGTAATCAATAACTTTAATTAATTATAGAATTTCTATATAGTAGATTTAGACGGAAACAGATTATAACTGCCAGAATCGGAAGAAACAGCAGAGGAATTTAAAGTAATAAAATTCAAAGAAGAAGAAATAGAAATAGAAAATGATTAAGAAAGAAAACTTCTAGAGATGATTGAAAAAGACTATAATGGGCAAATTATAAATAAAAAAAGGAAAATATTAAATAAAATAAAATGAAAATATATATTAGTAAATAGAAAATTTATATTTCTATGTTTGTGAGAAAAAATAAACAATCAATGATTTGATTGTTTTTGTTGATCAAAATGGCTCAACAAAACCTGAATAATTATAAATTCTGTATAGTTTAACACAAATTTATTGCTTGAATCCAGATAATACATTACAGATTTAGGGTTGGTCAACTTATTTGACTGCTCAAATTCAAGGTCTCACTGATCAATCAATCGTGTAAATAGTTACTAGTGATAATTAATAATATGTAGCAGATGTTGTAACATAGAATTACATGCATTTCACAACATCATAAATAAGATTACCTTCATAGATTCAGATGATAAATGTTGATGGCTAAAATATCCTCAAGACCCCAATTAAATTAATTCAAAATAATGTATAAGTTTCGTTAAGTTTCTTAATAAATACTCATCCTGCTGACAGACAGTATTTCTAAATGAAGTTGATTCAATAAAATTAAAATCCTAATTTAATTGTAAAAAATTTGTTTATCAGAATTAAATCCATTCAGTTTACTGATGAATTAACTTAAGAAGATACTAACACATTCAAATACAAGAAATTTAGCATTATTTAAAATGATGTTGATTTTTATGTGTGCACAAACTAAGGAAGTTTTATATTATCATTCGGTAATTAATAAGATATGATGTTAACTCCTACAATTTAAATGTTAACTTAGAATAAAAATCCTAAAGCTGGTGACATTTTATAGTTTAATATTACTTCTTCTACTTCTAATCTCATTAGTAAAAAATAAGGTTATGCTATGAAAGTTACATGTCAAAACGGCTACAAATAAGCATTCACTGGTCGTCCTAATGTTGATTAATATTTTTCTTTATCTTCCTAGCAAAATGGAACAGTGTACAGCTTTATATTCCCAACAATTATGCAGAGGTTAAACCCATAGAAGGAAACATGCGATATTTCTATTGACATAACTAATATTTAATCTAACTTAATAAAGGAATATAGAGATTAAATGGAGAGCTCTTATTTTAGTTCTGTATTTTTAAAAGAGCCAAACATTAGTGAGAATCTTTACTTTAAAGATATTGGAGAAAATATTAAAAGTAATACGCTAATATCATTTAAAGATGCAGTGATTCCTGAAAGATAGAGAATTTATGTAGAAACATTCTCTCCTAGTGTTATATCGTCTTATGGAAGTGAATAAATAATTATTACAGGTAATAATTTCTTGTTAAACGGAAGTGCTATTGATAATATAACTGTTAAGCTTTTAGGTGTAAGTTGTGAAGTTTAAAGTGTGAATAATACTCAAATAGTTTGCATTTCAGGACCTAAAACTAGAATTGATCCTTTGGAAAAAACTTAGGTATTGATTGGTAACTCTGAAGCTTTGCTGTTAAGTCATGTTGCTTATTCAATTGATCTTAAGGAAAATACTTAGCTAGAAAATTATTTTGTAAATGGGTGTAAGATCAATGTTCCATATAACTATGTTCTTAATGTAGATCTTGGTAAATTCTAAGGCGATGAATTAAATTTCTTTAATGTGAATGTTGATGAATAACTTATCTTTAGAAGTTATAGAGACTTAAATGTTACTTTCAAAATGTTTTAAGGATTGGGATAAGTAAGCTTTGGTACTATCGATTAGAGATTTAATTCAAATTGTAAAATTTTTATTAATTAATAAAATGATGTCAAGCTGAGCTCTTATGGAAAAAACATTGAAAATTATTCATACACTTTAGTGAACAGTCTTGAAACATAACAAAATTTGATTGAAGTTTAAGAAAGCTAAGTCCAACTTAAAAAAGGAAACAAAATCATGGTATTGGCTACAACCTAAGAAGAAAGAAACGAAGAATATATTGTTGAATCGGTGAAATATAACAAAATATACCTTTCAACAAACATATAAACAAGACATTAAAATACATAAGAAACCATCAACTAGCAAAATGGAGATTCTTATTTATTCAGTGTTTAAGTTCCAATAATTTAAATAGATAGAAACATTTAAATTGAAGGCTTTTAACTCTAATTCTAAGATTTGTACGATACTAAAGTAGTGGTGAATTAATTTAGTTCAAATAAAGTTTTCAAATCCTTTATTAAATTAAATTAAGAAACCTATATCACATTTACAAATATGACTTCTAGTGTTTTATAATCAAACTTTACTCATTTAGCATATGACAGAGAATACATTAACAACTTTTTCATTAGTGAGAATAACTAGTGTAAAATAACTCTCACAAGAAGTGGTAAATTTAATAACAATTTTTCCTAGTGCAATGTCTAAATTCTTAATATTGACGATAGGACTCAAGTAAATGAAATTTAAGAAGTGTAAAACAATATCTTTGCTACTACTTAAACTTGCTTAAATGTAAGATATCCCTATAAGCTCGTAATGAAAGATAATGTTTGTTTGTCAGTTTAATACTTTACTAACTTTTTTTACCTTCATACAATTTAATCAGAAGGAATAGCATTTGTTGCTTTAGACATTAGATAAGCCTTGGTTCTTTATTAATTTGATCCTACTTAAGAGGTTTCACATGAAGTATTTTCTGTCTAACCACAACAATCAAACAATACAAAGATTTTGATTGCTGCAAACAGTGTTAAAAACCAAAACAAAAATACTCCTGCCTTATTCATCAATAATATCCCTCTTAATTATTACTCAATGTTTAATTTTTACAACTTTGAATTAATAGGATTCAATGAAAATAACACACCAATCTAATATCAATATGTCGATAATTAGAATAATGCTAATTAAAATTTTATATCAATTTGTGAATTTTATAATTTCAAGTCAGATTTTTTGAAGAAGACTGTGCTATTTAATGACACAAATTCAGATCTTCAAAAAGGATTAGCTTTGATAGACAAAGATGGAAGTTTAACTGGAAAGGTCTAATCTATATTATCTTCAAATATTGTTAGACCTGATTTAAATTGCCAGATCAATGAATAAAAATTATAAAGCTGCTCTCCTCTTATCGGTGTCATGTATGTAAACCCTGACGTTGATTACTATTGCAAAAATATTTAAAATGCAGATTTAAAAGTCATACCAAGCGAAACATAATTTATCCCAAACATAACATAAACAACTCAAGTTTTTGTTACATAATTGTAATAAACTTTTTCATTTAGATTTGTTAAAAAATTAACAGGAGAGGAATTTATACCATGCAGATTTAATTTAGAACAAAGATATTTAGCAGATTCTAATTTAGGCTTTATAGCAAAATACTCAGTAGACACAAAGAATATCTCTAGCATAACTATATATAAATATTAATGGCAGTATATTAGGGATTTCGAAATATTGTTACCCCTCTTTTCTTTTTCTCTGAATAGATCTATTTCATAATAATTAATATCCAAAAAACGGAATTTTTGAATGGTATCTTGCTATATATTAAATATAAATCGATAATAAATTAATTAATTCATCCTATTAAATATTAAAATTTATTTGGGTTATATAGACACTTATGTTTAATTAATTTTTGTAAAAAGCAAAATTCTTCTTAAAAACCCTTAAAAAAAACAGTTCTAATTTATTTAAAATCAATAGACATTTACATTCATAAGTAAACAACACCCTACCAATTTAAAATCAGAAACTATTAAAAATGATTAAGAAATGCTAAAAACTAACTTATTAAATAAAATACATGAAATTTTTATATAAATAAGCTAAAAATGTTGATAGTATTTATTTTATTTTGTTAAGACTGTTCTAAAAGATCAAATAATTTGTTCATAGATGCTTTTAATTAAAAAGCAGAACATTAGATATGAAATTAGATAAAATAAAACTTTGACTATTAAATTAATCCATACTTTATTAGATAAACTCAGATAAAAGATTCTTTTATATTTTAGCATTTTTATTTTAATTTCTTTATTTCTGTTTATCTATTTTTATATTTTAGCTTTTAGCATGAATAATTTAAATCGGAGTTTTCGAATTTTGTTGAAATTTTTGAATTGTGTGTGTATCTAGATTTATCTAATCAGAAAATATTCAGAAATAGCTAAATAAAATAGTTAAATATAATCCACTCTCAATTTAATCAAGAAAATAGAAAATACTTAATAAATTAATCTATTTGAATATTTGAATGATCTAAGGAAAATCTATTCTGAATAAACTTGATAAACTTCTTGAAATACAATATGTGATTAAAATATACAATTAAAATATGATTTTAAATAAATTGGTTCCATATATAAAAGTTAATTAACTCATCATTATCATTAATTGTTTTAACTAAGTATTCATTTTTATTAAGACTATTTAGTTTTTTCTTATAAAAGCAAATCGCAGTTCGATTTATTTAATATGATCTCTCTCTAATTACAATAATATTTGAATATCAACTTTAGATTCTATAATAAAATAAATAAATTCTCAATTTTATAATACTCTCAACTTTATATAGCTAAAAACAAATTATTAAATAAAGTAAAAAATATTTATTTTTTCATTTATTGTGAAAGTTTTATATAGTTTTAAATAATTAAGATTGTATTTAACATGAAATATTCTCTCTGTGATATGATTGATTTAAATGATTGAATTGAGTGCTATTAGTTCAATTTTTCCCTTATAACTCTAAAATTGATTTATGATAACTAATTTAATCACTGAACTTTACTATTTATTCTTCATCTATCTAATAAATAGAGTTTGATATTGATTTATTCTAAATTAATTGATAAATTAAATTATTTAATTCGATCTTCTTCTCCTTTTATAAGAAACGATTTTTTATCAATTTTAATAAGGAATACTTACACTTTTTTGTTTAATAAAATTGATTTTTATGTTTAAATTAATAAATAAAATACTTAATAATATTCATTTTATTATTAAATGAAATATAATCGATATATATCACCATACTATACTGTATATTTTTTTAAATTTTACTAATTTAGTAAAAGTAAATTTTTAAATTGATATTTTTTAATATCTAATTTAAAAAGAAATTTTACTTTCATATCAAATCAATAAAAAAGGGAGGAATTATGGTTTTTAATCTTCTTCTAAATAAGATATTAATTAAGGATTTTTGATTAAATTAAAGTTTCTTGTAAAAAAGAAATCAATAAAAAGATAATAAATTATTGATTTTATTCAATCTTTTTCTTATCAATAGAAATAGATTAATTAATTATCAGATAACATCAGTTACAATTATAATTTATTAAATGTAACTCATTTGGATACTTTGTATCATAAATGAAAATGTTAGGTATAATTCATTTAAATTCGAGGGATGTTTCTGTCTGATTGGTAATAAATAATAAAATTAAAGATATAAAATAACAATAAAAAAAATGAGAAATCATAAATATACTAAAAGACTAGTAATAGGACTTCTCCTATTACTTTCAGTTTAGGGTATTTATTTTACTACTTTCATTTTATTTCAAATTTATTAAATCATAAAATTTTATCAATAGCTCAATTTTTAAAGAATGCTTCAAATAATCACGAATCTCAGAGGAGTGATATTAGATTACTCTAGTCTTCTGTGTCTATTAAGCCAAGTGAAGTTTCTTCATTTGCACCAACTCATATAACTTTTAATGGAATTGCTTAACCTCAAGACATCACAAAAATTGAATTGTTTAATTCTTTGTCTACAATTCAACTTGAAATTGTAAAAAGATATTCAAATTCTGTTTTAGTAAAGCTTGAAAGAGGTAAAAATATTTGTATTTTTTAATATTATAAATCAATTAATAAACTAAAATTTCAATTATAAAATAATTTTATTTTTATTTATTATTTAGGGAGTTAAGGAAGATTCAGAGGTAGAATCACTTTTACTGATGAATCATATATTGAGACAATAAACAAGATTGATATCAACGCTAAAATAGACTCTATTTATCCTATGTAAGGAAATTACTAAGGAGGAGTACTACTGACTATTCAAGGTTCTCGTTTTGGTAACTTAGATTCAGATACTGAAGTTCTTATTGGAGAAGTCCCTTGTGCAATTATTACTTACAACGATAGCTAAATTGAATGTGTTACATAACCAGCTTGGAAATTAATGAATTAAAAGAGAAATCTAGTTTTAAAAAGAAAATCTGTTGTAATCTCTTCTGATACACCCTTAAACACAGAATTTACATTCATTTCTGTCAAATAATAACCAATTATTAATAGAATTCTAAGTAGTAGTGGATAAATATACAGAGGCTCTACTGTTAATATTGAGGGTACAAATCTATTCGCAGAAAACCTTTAAACTTAATTGTTCATTGGAAATGATAAAATCTCATTTTAAAGAACAGAAACAGGTTTATCATTTGTAGTTCCATAAATAATTACCAACCAAGCAAATTATTTGATTGTTTTTGTTGATCAAAATGGCTCAACAAAACCTGAATAATTATAAATTTTGTATAGTTTAACACAAATTTATTGCTTGAATCCAGATAACACATTACAGATTTAGGGTTGGTCAACTTATTTGACTGCTCAAATTCAAGGTCTCACTGATCAATCAATCGTGTAAATAGTTACTAGTGATGATAAATATTATGTAGCAGATATTGTCACATAGAATTATATGCAAATCACATAAATGCCAACAGTTTCATAGATTCAAATGATAAATGTTGATGGCTAAAATATCCTCTAGTCCCCAATTAAATTAATTCAAAATAATGCCTAAGTTTCGTTGAATTTCTTAATAAATACTCATCCTGCTGATAGCAAGTATTTCTAGATGAAGTTGATTCAATAAAATTAAAACCCAAATTTAATTGTAAAAAATTTGTTAATCAGAATTAAATCTGTTCAGTTTACTGATGAATTAACTTAAGAAGACACAAACACATTCAAATACAAGAAATTTAGCTTTATTTAAAATGATGTTGATTTTTATGTGTGCACAAACTAAGGAAGTTTTATATACACATATAATGGCAATTAATAAGATATTAATTTAACACCTACAATTTAAATGTTAACTTAAAATAAAAATCCTAAAGCTGGAGATATTTTCTAGTTTAATATTACTTCCTCTACTTCTAATCTCATTAGTAAAAAATATGGTTATGCTATGAAAATTATTTGTCAAAATGGCTACAAATATCAATACTATAATAATTATCTTGATTATTATTATTCTTTATCTTCCTAGTAAAATGGAACAGTGTACAACTTTGTATTCCCAACAATTATGCAGAGGTTAAACCCATAAAAGGAAACTTGCGATATATCTATTGAAATAATTAATGTTTAGTCTAACTTAATAAAGGAATATAGAGATGAATTTGAGAGCTCTTAATTTATTTCTTCGTTTTTAAAAGAGCTCAACACTAATATTGATGATTTTAACTTTAGAGATATTGGAAAATAAATTAAAAGCACTACGCTTATATCATTTGAAGATGCAGTGACTCCTACAAGATAGAGAATTTATGTAGAAACATTCTCTCCTAGTGTTATATCGTCTTATGGAAGTGAATAAATAATTATTACAGGAAATAATTTCTTGTTAAACGGAAACGCAATTGATAATATAGCTGTTAAGCTTTTAGGTGTAAGCTGTGAAGTTTAAAGTGTGAATAATACTCAAATAGTTTGCATTTCAGGACCTAAAACTAGAATTGATCCTTTGGAAAAAACTTAGGTAATGATTGGTAACTCTGAAGCTTTGCTGTTAAGTCATGTTGCTTATTCAATTGATCTTAAGGAAAATACTTAGCTAGAAAAGTATTTTGTAAATGGGTATAAGATCAATGTTCCATATAACTATGTTCTTAATGTAGATCTTGGTAAATTCTAAGGCGATGAATTAAATTTCTTTTATGTGAATGTTAATGAATAACTCATCTTTAGAAGTTATAGAGACTTAAATGTTACTTTCAAAATGTTTTAAGGGTTGGGATAGATAAGCTTTGGTACTATCGATTAGAGATTTAATTCAAATTGTAAAATTTTTATTAACTAATAAAATGATGTCAAGCTGAGCTCTTATGGAAAAAACATTGAAAATTATTCATACACTTTAGTGAACAGTCTTGAAACATAACAAAATTTGATAGAAGTTTAAGAAAGCTAAGTCTAGCTTAAAAAAGGAAACAAAATCATGGTATTGGCTACAACCTAAGAAGAAAGAAACGAAGAATATATTGTTGAATCGGTGAAATATAACAAAATATACCTTTCAACAAACATATAAACAAGACATTAAAATACATAAGAAACCATCAACTATAAAAATGGAGATTCTTATTTATTCAGTGTTTAAGTTCCAATAATTTAAATTGATAGAAACATTTAAATTGAAGGCTTTTAACTGTAATTCTAAGATTTGTACGATACTAAAGTAGTGGCGAATATGTATGATTCAAATAATGTTATCTAATCCTTTATTAAATTAAATAAAGATACCAATATCTCATATAGAAATATGACTTCTAGTGTTTTATAATCAAACTTTAAACACTTGGCTTTTGGTAGAGAAAATATTAAAAATATTTTCATTAGTGAGAATAACTAGTGTAAAATAACTCTCACAAAAAGTGGTAAATTTAATAACAATTTTTCCTAGTGCAATGTCTAAATTCTTAATACTAACGATAAGAATCTAACAAATGAAGTGTAAGAAATGTAAAACAATATCTTTGCTACTACTTAAACTTGCTTAAATGTAAGATATCCCTATAAACTCGTAATGAAAGATAATGTTTGTTTGTCAGTTTAATACTTTACTAACTTTTTTTACCTTCATACAATTTAATCAGAAGGAATAGCATTTGTTGCTTTAGACATTAGATAAGCCTTGGTTCTTTATTAATTTGATCCTACTTAAGAGGTTTCACATGAAGTATTTTCTGTCTAACCACAACAATCAAACAATACAAAGATTTTGATTGCCGCAAACAGTGTTAAAAACCAAAACAAAAATACTCCTGCCTTATTCATCAATAATATCCCTCTTAATTATTACTCAATGTTTAATTTTTACAACTTTGAATTAATAGGATTCAATGAAAATAGCACACCTATCTAATATCAATATGTCGATAATTAGAATAATGCTAATTAAAACTTTATATCAATTTGTGACTTTTATAATTTCAAATCAGATACATTTAATTAGACTATGCTATTTAATGACACAAATTCAGATCTTCAAAAGGGATTAGCTTTGATAGATAAAGATGGAAGTTTAACTGGAAAGGTCTAATCTATATTATCTTCAAATATTGTTAGACCTGATTTAAATTGCCAGATGAATGAATAAAAATTATAAAGCTGCTCACCTCTTATTGGTGTCATGTCTATAAACCCCGATGTTGATTACTATTGTAAAAATATTAAAAATGCAGATTTAAAAGTCATACCAAGCGAAACATAATTTATCCCAAACATAACATAAACAACTCAAGTTTTTGTTACATAATTGTAATAAACTTTTTCATTTAGATTTGTTAAAAAATTAACAGGAGAGGAATTTATACCATGCAGATTTAATTTATAACAAAGATATTTAGCAGATTCTAATTTAGGCTTTATAGCAAAATACTCAGTAGACACAAAGAATATTTCTAGCATAACTATATATAAATATTAATGGCAGTTTATATAAACATCTGCCTCTAATAAAGAGCTAGAAGTTGCTAATTGCTCTCATGGAGATTATTTTATCCAACCTGATGGAATTTAAATTTGTATTAAGAGTGAAAAAGGCAACTTCTTTAAAATAGTTGTTAGCATATAATCTAAAATATGATATAAAAGTATTATAAATAAATATGTGTTTGATGTTTGTTGTTTTTTAAAAAATAATTTTCATTCATTTTAAAAATAAATTTATATTACCTTTTTTAATGCTAATTACCAATAAAAAAATATTGAATATTAAAAATAAAAAATCAAATCATGTTATTATTTAAATATTATTTTTTTAAATCATTAAGTAGCAATTATGATAATTTATAAAAGTTTCATTAAAATAGAAAATTTAAATTAGCTTTTGTAGACTGAATAATCTAATATTTCTAATCTAGGTATTAAAGTATGATGAGCTGTATAGCACCATATTTTAATACCTAAATTATGTTTAATTTAAAATAAAAAAAAATAAACCAGAATATTTATGAAAAAGTAAAATCATAAAACATTAAAATTCATAATTGAATATAATATTTAAATATATACTATATAATGTGCTCAAATACAATATTCAATATTTTTTTTACATTTTTAAGGGTTTTCATTAAAACCATACCTCAGTACAAAATACTGGAATCAGCACGGTATGAGGTTTAGAGGTTATATGGTAAATATTAGTGAGGAAATTGAAAATTAATTAAATCCTGTAATTGATTTTCATTCTTTTTTTGAAATTGATAAATATTTTTTATCAAAAATTCAAATGAGAGTTATTTAATAAGTAAATTATTAATAAAGATAAGTTTTTAACAAAAAATATCCTCTTTAGTGGAATTTAATTCAATTTAATAGTCTTGAATGATATTTGAAAGAAGAAAAATATATTTAGAAAGGAATTTACTTATTTTACAAATTTTCGCAATAACATTGATAAAATTGATAGAAACAATAAATTATTAAAAAAAGATAAGTTTTTGACAAAAAATTTCCTCTTTAGTGGAATTTAATTTAATTAAGTAAATTATTATAAAAAGAGAGGTTTTTTACTAAAAAAATTAGTAATTAAAAGTTTTGAAAGAAGAAAAATATATTTAGAAAGGAATTTACTTATTTATCAAATTTTCGCAATAAAATTGATAATATTCATAGAAACAACAAATTATTAAAAAAAGATAGGTCTTTAACAAAAAATGTCCCCTTTTAGTGGAATTTAATTTAATTATGTAAATTATTAGAAAAGAGAGGTTTTTAACTAAAAAAATTCCTCTTTAGTGTAATTTAATTTAATTAAAATTAGTAATTAAGAGTTTTGATAGGTATTTGAAAGAAGAAAAATATATTGAGAAAGGAATTTATTTATCAAACAAATTTGCGCAATAAAATTGATAATATTGATAGAAACAATAAATTATTAAAATAAGATAGGTTTATTACAAAAAATGTCCTCTTGAAAGGAATTTAATTTAATTAAAATTAGTAATTAACAGTTTTAAAAGATATTTGAAAGAAAAATATATATATATATATATTTAGAAAGGAATTTACTTACTTATTTATTTAACAAATTTTCACAATAAAATTGATAATATTGATAGAAACAATAAATTATTAAAAAATGAGAGGATTCTATCTAAAAAATTCCTCTTTAGTGGGAATTTAATTTAATTAAAATTAGAAATTAACAGTTTTGAAAGATATTTGAAAGAAGAAAAATATATTTAGAAAGGAATTTACTTGTCTAACAAATTTGTGTAATAAAATTGATAGAAACAATAAATTATTAAAAAAAGAGAGGTGTTTATCAAAAAAAAATTCCTCTTTAGTGGGAATTTAATTTAATTAAAATTAGAAATTAACAGTTTTGAAAGATATTAGAAAGAAGAAAAATATATTTAGAAAGGAATTTACTTTTATAACAAATTTGCGCAATAAAATTGATAGAAACAATAAATTATTAAAAAAAGAGAGGTTTTCATCTAAAAAAACTCCTCTTTAGTGGAATTTAATTTAATTAAAATTAGGATTAAGAGTTTTTAAAGATATTAGAAAGAAGAAAATATATTGAGAAAGGAATTTACTTATCTAATAAATTTGCGCAATTAAATTGATAATATTGATAGAAACAATAAATTATTAAAAAAAGATAGGTTTTTAACAAAAAATTTCCTCTTGAAAGGAATTTAATTTAATTAAAATTAGTAATTAATAGTTATAAAAGATATTTGAAAGAACAAAAAATATATATATTTAGAAAGGAATTTACTAACTTATTTAACAATTTTTTTCAATAAATATGATAACATCGATACAAATTATTTTTATCAAAGATGTTAAGTTTTTTATTTATATATTAAGTTTTTTATTAGTTAATTATTTATTTATTTATTTTGAGGCTTTCTTTATTTCTAACTATTTATATTTATAAATATTGATATTCATCATTCAATTAAAAGTTAATGATTTATATAATTAATTTAAATAAACTATTATAATTATCTATTTATTATTATTATTTTATTTATTTATTTATTTATTTATTTATTTATTTATTTTCAGTCTTAGTGTTTATCTTCTTATTATTATGGAAGCTAAGAGAACTTGCTCTTAGACATATATTTTTGTATTTCTTCCATTTTTTACATATCGAGGTTATCGGTTTGATATTCGATTTCGTTGTCAGAGTCAGCTTGAGGTATTTTAACTCCTTCGTAGCGGGTTGCGGGGGGAAGTTCTGAGTTTTTCTCAGATTAAATGATATTAACTTTAGTATTTTGGTAGTTGATATTGAATGTATTCAACTCTTTAAGTTATTGAGATGTTTCGTTTTCATTGTTTATTAGGACATTTGTTTTGGGGACAGTTTCTGCTACACTTTCAAATTAGTCATTTCCAATGTATATTTTTTTGCTGTCGCCTAGATGGGAAGGTCTGTCAGGTTCTTCTCCAAATACTCCTTTATTCGTGTGGATTTTGGATTGGAGTTGAGACTCTTTTTCATAAACACTGATTTTTTTATTTTACTCTTTTGGGAGTTTGTTTATTTTATTGATGCTGTTGCTGTATTCATTCATTTCATCGTCATTAAAATCTTCGTTTTCTTGCACAAACGCATTGACACTAGTCTACTTCGCTTTATCATTTTAATCGCTAGATGGACTGCCTTTTTTCTTATTATCACTTGCGGCCTAGCTATTTTAACTAAAGGCTCTTTCTTCGTCTTCATCGTTATTTTCCATAAAATTAAGTTGGTTATTGGCATGTATTTGAGGATGATCAGAAATCTCATTTTTAATAATGTAAAATTGCTTATTTTTCTAGAACACAGTCAAAGGATGATCGTTTTCTTGAGCTTTATTTGATTAGTTTTAAGAAGATTCGCTTAAATTTTTAACTAAAATGTTGTCACTGTGATTATTAATTAAATTATTATTACTAAGCTAATTGGCTGTATGCATATTAGAGATTATGTTATTATTTTAATAAGCATTATTTACAGCTAGAATGTTGTTATTGTAGTGATTTTTAATTAGACTTCTTGTGCTCTCATTATTGTGATTGATATTTTTATAGGTGACCTATTTATTATTAAAATTCACCATGTTACTTTGTTCGCTATGAAGCACGCTCTAATCATTATTTTAAATAGTGATGAAATTTTAGCTTTGAGGTTTATTTAATTTTCTTCCACTGCCTTTATCTAGATCATGATTCATTTAAAGTTTTAAATCAGTAAATTCGACATTTAAATTTTGTTAGTGTTCCACATTTTATAAAGACGCAGTCCTCTTTGAAGCCTTTTCTTATTTATGTTCTAATTCTACAGATTTTTTAGATGGATTTTAGAGTGCAATTTCATTTTATTGGATATTATCTGCAATTTCGATTTGTAAACCATTTTCAGGAGTAGTGTAGGCATTATTATTGTTGTTGTTATTTTTAGCATTATTGCTATTATTAATATTAGGATCAGTTTATTGATTTTTAACTTACTTCTCAGCTTCGTTTAACTTCTTTCTGTGATATTGCAAATCATGAACTAATTCTGGAGCAAATATGTATCTGTAAACTTTATATGTGTATTTAATAATACAGATAAAAGCAACATTTAAGAACAAAGTCAACCAGAATTTCCAATTTCCAATGTTTATAAGTAACATTTCTTGCAAGGGACCAGCAAAAATGTCATAAGTAAAAGCGAAAGCAGGGAAGAATAAGAACAAACTAACAATCACGTAAGAAAAGAAAGTAAATGGTGAAAAATATGTTGTGTCCATAAAATTGATAGCCCAAACCACTCCAACTGTGCTGCAGTAAGAAGAAAAGCTTTAAAACCACAAACCATCGATTTTACCATCTCCGCTCATCTAATAGTAATCCTAAATTTATTTATGTTAAAAATATTTACTTCATTCAAAGAAATTAAATATTGTATTACCTAATAGTTGATAAAAAATACAGAAAAATAAGTTGTAAGAGAAAGGCCAACACCTTATAAGAAAACTATTCCGAAGACCTTAAAAGAAAAAAGATCTTTTTCTCTAAATATTTTGTAGAGACGAGGCAAATACTTAGCGATGTACTCAGATCCATGAGGATTGACATCTTACTCAAACCCTGCAAAATAAACTGGAGCACAAGCAGTAATAATAGAGTTGAAATTGAGTAAATAACCGTCTTCCCAAAAAGACTACCCTGAATAAGCACAAAAGAACCCAAAGTAGAACTATTGAAGTGTGAAAATAAAATTTTTAAGGAAGAAATAGTTAACAAAGTAAGATGTTCTGTATAAATTCCATCTCCCATGAACAAACAAAAGTCTCCACAAAAACCTAAACTACCCAAAGTAATAATCGCTGCTTAAAGCTGCTTGATTTCCTTCCTTACCAATAATACCTAAAAAAAAACAAAAATATTAATTAAGTGAATTCAATTTCGATACTTTATTAAATTCATAAATTGTTTATTAATCTCAAAATAAATTTGTATTATCTATTATTTATTTTAAAAATCTATTTAAATAATTAGCAAAAAATAATTATTTTTTTAAAGGTATTTCCTTGAATGATTTTTTGGTTCATTTTTATAATAAATAATTAACAATTGCTAAGTCATTAACAATTAATATTCATGTAAAAATTTAGATTTCTTATTCAAATTAATTAATTGTTTTTCATGAAAGAATCCCTTAGATTTTATTTTAAAAGCCGTTCATATTTTTAGCAAAAAACAATAATTTTTAAAGGTTTTTCATTTATTTGATTTTTAAAATGAATAATCGAAGCTAATTTATAATGAAATTATTTAATTTATTTAAAATCTATTTGAAAAATAAAATAATTTTTTTTATCAGAAATTCATTAATTTTATGAATGTTTGTCTTTTAATTGAATTTTATGTTAATTGTTTTTATTCTTTCATTCATTTATTTGTTTATTTGTCATTAAATTTCTGTTTTAGTAAAATTCACTAAGTTAGAATAATAAATATGCTTTTTTGCTTTGGTTTTTATTTTAAGAATAAATTTATTAATTTAGTTTTTACCAACTCCGATATCTGCTTCTTAGATCATGGTTACGTCATTACCTCCATCTCCGACAGCTAGACAAGTTTTATTAAAATGAGTTTTAACGAATTTGACCATTTCTGCTTTTTATGTTGGAGTTGATCTGCAGCATATAACAGTGCAGCATTCTGGAATGATTTGCAAGAACTCTTTTCTACATTAATCATCATGTAAGGCATGACCGATTGCTTCTCCTTCTATTACCAAGGCAAATCCTGTGTAGCCTTTCACTTAGTTTATTTCAAATGAATTATTTTCTTCTTTAGTTAGATAGGAATCTCGTCTCGATTAGGAACCTCCATCGTTTATTATTCTGTTTATATTCTGGTTTTAATGTCCAACTTTTTTGTTTTTGAAATCATGGTGGTTATTTTAGTTGTTTTTTATTCTTATTTCTCCTATTTCGCTGACAGTTTTTATTTGGTTGATTCTTCCCTTTATTCTAAAGAACTTGTCTCTATTTATTTATTTAAACAAAATTATCACTATTAATTAATTAGTTGGTTATTCTTGAAATATTTATTCACCTCGTAACGTCTGGATAGTGAGATTGAACTCTGAACACTTTAGTTTGATTGTTCAGCAAGTTGCAAAGATAACCAATATTTTCTGCTGTTTCAAGTTTGTCACCTGTGAGCATCCAAACATTGATTCCAGCTTCATGGAAATCCTTTAAAACTTCAGGAACTCCTTCTTGCAATTTATCTTCAAGTGCAGTAACTCCCAAAAGATCAAAGCCTGTTTCTATCTCATTTTCAAGCTTTTATCAATTTTAAAATAAAATCAAATTTTTATAGTAAAACCAAATGAAAATTTCATTTAATTTATCTTACATCAGCAATTTTATCTTTAGTTTTTTCAGGGAACAAGTCTCCAATCATGTTCATATTTAAATCCTGTATTTGCGAATTCCATGCATCATATTCTTATTGATTTAACTCTTTCATACCCAAGCAGAGAGTTCTTAACCCCTTTTTTAAATATTTTCATTTAAAACATTGTCTTTCAATCTGTTTACTTACGTGCTTTGAATAGTATTTGAGGCTTTGCTTTATATTACTTTTAAGTGCTTCACTTGTATTCGAAATATGTTTGAGCATGAACGAATCAGCTCCCTTAGTGTACATATATATTTTTCCTGTTATTGGATCCTTTTTTTTTACAAAAACAAATTTATTTTTTCAATAATTATTTTTAGGATAATTCAAGCAAAAAATTGTCTTTCTTTCATTATCAAAAACCATTTCAATTTTTATTTGGTTCTAAAAAAAGCACAAAATTCCTTCATTTAAGAAACAAAACTTTAATTTTTTTCATAATTTTTAAAGCAAATTTCATAAAATTTAATAAATTTTATTAATTATTTGTTGGATTATAAAAGAATTAATTAATTTTTTAATATTTAGAATGAATTTGAATACCTAAATAATGACACTCATTCTTTTACGCTCACTTGTGAATTCTATTTTATTGAGAAGCTTAAATGTATGCATTTCTGATCCCACTTGTATAAATATTTAATTTGTTGTTCTTTTGAGAAATTTGAAATTATATTTTTGAGCTTTTTCTACGAGACATACTTCATCTGGTGATGAACCTTAATAATTAATTTCGTTTTGTTTTTCCTCAAGGATAACGTCGTGACAAATAGCAATGCACATCCAAAATTGATAAAAATCTTTGTATTCTTCATCGTAAGTGAGAGTTTGATACTCTAATTTTGCTAAGATGTCTTCAAGTTCTTTTTCAGAGTAGTCAGAACCAGCGATATTTGCATGTCTGAAAATCATAATGTTGCAAGTCAATGTTCCTGTCTATTTATTTGTTAGTATTTAACCAAATATAAAATATGTTGAAAATATAAAGAAGTTACTTTATCTGTAAAGATGTAATCAATTTTTCCTAACTCTTCATGAATCATAGTATTGAGCACCTTCATTTTTTGAACTTATCCATCGTCTAAATAGTGCATTTCAGCATCATACTCCATGAAAGATGATTAAAATAGTTTGACAACTTCCATAGAAATAATCAAAGAAATAGGAATAAGTGAATTTAATAGTAAAAAGTATGAAAAAAAATTGATTGTTCCCTAAACTTCATAGCTATAAAGACCATCGCTACTGTTTCCATAAAGATAAGCGTAGTTATATTTATTATTTTCCAAAGGATTTGTGTTTTTCTTCATAATAATTTTAAAAAAAAATATATATTAAAAGCTTAAATATCTAAAGGCAAATTAAAGTCTACCTAAAAAATAGATAGAAGAATAGCCATAATAATGCATAGAGCTAATTGAACTAACAATGTTATAAAAATTATAGGATTCACTTTCTTTTCTATATGAGTAGATTTGTGCTTCACTTGCCTAATTCATTTAAAATATATTTTAAAAAACCTAATTAAAATACTTAAAAATACCCTTAGTTCCTCATTATTTTCGTGTCTTGACCTGAATAAATTACCACTCCTATCACCCATTCAGTATTCTTTAAAGTTGTGCCCTATTAGTAATTATTAAAAACAGTTATTATTCCATCTGAATAAATTATAAATCTTTAAAATAAATAAAATGTTTTTTTAAATAACCAAGTAAATTAAATTGCTTAAAAATATTAAAATAAGTTAATTCTTTCATAGTTTTTTCATAAGCCTAGTTAATTATTAATTACTAAAATGCTATTTTGTTTCATAATATTTTGTTAATTTTAAGAGTTAATTCGTTCAAAAAACATTTTTTGGAATTGCTAAATATCTAGCTAGCTTTAAAAGATTTGAAAAAGCTAATTTTTTCCAAAAATCTAATGAAAACTTTGCTACTAAGAATTTATTTGTTAAAAAATTCTAAATTCATTAGTTAAATTTTAAAAATTGTTTCTTTCAAAAAACAACACATAGGAAAAAATAGTAAAATTTATAGCTTTAAATATCAAAATAAGCTTATTCATTCATAGTATGTTGATTGTTATTTGAGTTATTATGTATTTATTTATACTAATAATAATTACTAAAATTACACAATTTCTAATATTTCTTGTTTTAGTATTATTTTCATAAAAGACTTTTTGGAAATAGCTAAATAAATTAAAAAGCTTGAAAATATCTTAATAAGTAAATTCTTTCATAATCTATCTATTGATAAGTGTTATTATTTGTTTTAATAATTACTAAAATTGCATGATTTTTCAATTAATCAATTAATAATTTTTTTTCTGAAAACACTTTTTTGGAAATAGCTAAGTAAATTAAAAAGCTTGAAAATATCTTAACAAGTAAATTCTTTCATAATCTATCTATTGATAAGTGTTATTATTTATTTTAATAATTACTAAAATTGCATGATTTTTCAATTAATCAATTAATATTTTCATGTTTTAATATTTTTTTTCTGAAAACACTTTTTTGGAAATAGCTAAGTAAATTATATAGCTTAAAAGTATTTAAAAATTTAAATTCTTTCATAATCTATCTATAATTATTTATGCTAATAAAAAGTAAAGTTTCACCAATTCTAAAAGAACGATAAATTATTTATTTTTTAATGCTTTTTTTTCAATAAACACTAGTTGGAAATAGCTAAGTAAGTAAATGTACAGCTTGAAAATATCTAAGCAAGCTAATTCCTTTCTTAATATATTTATTGATTTTAATTTACGCTTATAATTACTCAATTTTCATGATTTCTAAATCAATTAATTAATCATTTATTTATTTATTTATTTGATAAAACGCTTTTTGGAAATAGCTTAGTATTTTATAAAGCTTGAAAATATCTAAATAATTTAAATTCTTTGATTATCTAACTGTTAGTTAATACGTTTTATTATTTATATTAATAATAATAATTAAAAGGTAAATTTCTTAATTTCTATATGAATTAATTAATAGCATTTTTATAATTTTAAGATTTATTTCTTTGATAAAATACTAAGCAAACTAAATAAGCCACTATTGTTTGTTGGAATATTTTTTCATTCAATAATTGGATTGATTTTTATTATTTTTATTTGGCTTATTCAGAAATAAACTATGATAAATCGCTTATGATATTTGAGTCTATAATTTTTTTAAAACTTGCTAATTTTATTCTTTTTTTCAACTTAAATTTTTTAAAATATGTGAAAAAGTTTTTTGTTACTCTGAGCATGACATTATTATTGTTGAGTACTATTGGTTTCGATTCGTCGTCCAAATAGAGCAAACCTTTGAAACTATGGATTCTGTTGTTAGGTTTATCACAAACAATTTTTCCCTTGAATTTAATGAGAGAATGTTCTCTACCGTACTTGTTTACAATCTCATGAGATATTTTGCTTTTTAGGTTTCTCTCACTATTGATTGATAAGTGAAATAGAAGATTATAATTCAATTTCATAAATAAATAAATCAAATCAAATCAAATCAATTTCAAATAAAGTTGGCAAAAATTTAGATTCTAACATAAAAATTCTATTAAATGCATAAACATTAAATTTTTTAGCATAATTTACCCATCCAAGTTAGCAGTTTCGACAAAACCTGTGCCGTTTTCTTCATTTGTTGTAATAACCAAAATATCTGCTGGCAATATCTTTAAATTTAATTTAAAAATGCATGAGAATTAGCTTGAAAGTTTTTATTAATTTGTATTCATTTTTTGATAGTAAAACTAAACTAAAAGAATTCTATCTAAATTCAAGATATATTTATTGTATTGTATTGATTGATTGAATCATGAAATAGAAATAGAAGAATTTTAATATTAGTAAAGCTAGCTAACTCTACTCAGAAGAGTGCTAAATGGATTACAAAAATATTATATTAACATTTATGTATCAAATTACCTGCTCTTAGTTAACTTTTATAATATCGCCAAGCTAAATATCCTTCCACATAATGCTTGTAAAGTTTTTGTTATTAAAAATAAATGATTTCTATTCGTTGACAAGATCGTCATTGCGGTGTCTTTTCTTTATTAGAAATTGAAAATAATTATTGAGTTCAAGGTAACAGCAATGCTTTGAGGCTGTTTATAAATGCTTAGCCTTTTAATATTGCTTGATAATAGAAAAAATAAGTGATTAATTACATAATCTTCAATTGCTTCTCTTGATAAAGATACGGCAAGCACTAATATGAGTGGGCCAACCGCGGAAAAAGGCGCTAAAGGGGAAATGATATCTATACATTGGACAACAGTAGAAATTAAGAAATAAAAATTAGCTGCTCTCATAAATTGCAAAATCAACGCCTTTGGAACAAAGTTCCACCATGTGTATTTTGATGTCTTTATATGATTGTAAAACTTTCTATGAATCAATTGATTTTATGTACGATCATTAAGATATATTGTTTATCTGTTAGATTCTTCTTAGTCTCTCACTTTGTGCGACATCCAAATTATAAAATTTATCTATTTAATTTCCAATATAGTCCACTATTTTGTATGCTTCTTCCTATTGGTTAGCCTATCGATCAATCAAGCTTAATTCCTTTTATATTCTTCTATGCTTGTTTGCTTGCTATCTTGCTTGTTTACGAATATACAAAACTATTCCTTGTAGTGAATTCTTTTCTACTTTGAAATTAAAGTAATTCTTTTCTTTTAAAATAATTGAACTGAAAAAAAAAAATTGTATAATTGTGTATTAAATTATTTATTTATTACTTAATTAATCAATCAATTAGTTAAGTAATACTACCGCCTTGCTATTACTTATATCAATATGAATTGATTACTTAATTCATAAATAAAAAGATTGATTGATTGATTGATAAATAGATACAAACATAAAAACAAATATACATTCACGAGCACATGTAAAAAAACATTCCTTATTAATTCATATTTACATTTAATAATATCTATATATGCATTACAATTTTACAGTGTTAATTTTCATTATACCATCACCTAAATTATTTGATTCATTCATTTCATGATAGTTTTTCTTACATTTTTTTAATTAATTTTCATGTATTTTTTCTATTTTCGCAATAATCTTTGTCAAATTCAATCAATTTTCATTTATTTTTTTTTTATCGAATTGGCTTTCATTTATTTTGTTCTATGAAACTCATTTTGATTTATTTGCACAGTGATTTTAAATTCATTATCTTTCATTTAATTTTTCATTTTCATATTTGCGCTTAATCAATTTAATTTACTAATAATGCACAATAATAAGACTGATTTATGTAAATTCATTCATTTCTTTTTTAATTTTTTTATCCATTTATTTGATTAGGTTTTTTAAAAAATTGAAATAATTGTATGATAGACTTCCATTTTCATTGTTTACTTTGTTTTCATTCATTTAGCTTCCATTTTTTCTTGTTTTTCTTTGTTTTGTTTAGGTTTTTCATAAAATTCTCACAATTTTTATTGTTAAAAATAGAACAATTTAGGATGGATGATTGGTTTGAATTCATTTTTATTCACTTTTTTAGATTTACTCTAAATTCATCGAATGAATTTAATTTAAGCCTTAAATAATTCTTTGATTAATTTTTGGCTGATTTTAATAATTTATGCATACTTTTTTATATTTTTTACCAGTTATTAAAGCTAGTTATCGTATTTAATTTACATACTTTTTTAAAGTAGCTATCTTACTTGCTAAAGATCTACTCCAATATTTGAATTAAATCAATTAGAAACTTTCTTCTTTTTATACTTGAGTTATTATTTTTTATCGATTTTGTGAATCTATGATACTAGATTTGAATAATTTCAAACTTTCAAATCAAGAATTTGTACGCCAGAATTTTTTATTAACTTTTACATCAGAAACAAACAAGCAAAAATCTTTCCTTGCTTAAATTTTATGCTTACTCATAATTTTAAATTACAAGCAAAATACTGTAAAAATATCAATTAATCAAAATAAAAAAATGAAATAAACAAACAAACAAAAGCAAAAATAATAATTTTGTCTAATTTATTTTTTTAATTTTTTGCATAAAGAAAGAAAATATTTTTAAAAGATTTTAATTTAGTTAAAGTTTTTATATGATTTATAAGATTAATAATATACATTTAGATAAGTAAATAGGAATAATTATTATAAATTAAAACGTAAAGCATTATCATTTTTCTTCTCCGCTACTATTATCATTTGAGTCATTTTCATTCTAAGTAAAAATCTAGTTGTCATCTAAATTTTCATCTTTTATTTTTTACTTTTCGAATTTGTGAGTGCTGTTAATTAAAATAATAATTAATATTCAAAAATAGTTTAAAATTAAAATAATTTTTATGTTTCTATTAAGATGCTTAAAACTCCTTTTATTTGATTTTTACAGTTAAATAAATAAAATTGATTGTTTTGAATCAAAATTATTTTTGACTTCAATTACAAAAAATAATTCATTCACTTAATTTCTTATAAGATTATCAAATAAATTATGAATTCAAATCTTATTGTAAATAAATTGAGTAAATTACTAATTAATTTTTTTCAAAAATGATTATAAGAAATTATTACTGTTGCATGAATATTTACTAATTTATTAAAAGTAAAAGATATAATTTATCTTAGGTATTTTTTTAGATTTAAATAATATTTGATTGCTTAAAGTATTACATTTTAGCAAAAAAACTTAAATAAATATGTCAAGAGAAATTCGCTAAATTTAGAGGGTTTCAAAAAAAAAATAAAAGTTATTGTTCCTAATAATGGATTAATTTTTTGATATTTTTATATTTTCTTATTGATAATGAGTATCAAATTTTTAAAAAATCTGCTTATTGAGTTAATTGTCTAAAAAAACATTTGTGAAATAAAGAAAATACAATGAAGATATTAATAAATACTTCATCTCTCATTTTTTTTGGAATTCTCTTTTATTATTACAATAAATCTAATCATTTGTCATAATAATTTCTTTATCATTTTTGAATATTAAATCATAAACTAAAATTAAAAAATTGATAATCTTAGCGTTAGATTTAGATTTAAATATTATTTTATTGCTTAGAACATTTTAAATAAAACTTTCTAAAGTAATTCCCTTAATAGGTTTTTATTCATTCCAATAATAACGCGTGAATATCATAAACTTATAGTTAAAAATTGTTAATCTTAGGCTTAGAATATTTTAAATAAATGTTTCAAAAATAATTCCCTAAATAATAATCAACAACATTATCATTCATTCTCTTAATAATCTATATATACCATAAACTAAAAATTAAAATAGTTAATCTTAGCATATGATTTAGATTTAAATTTTTAAAAAATACTTCAAGAGTAATTCCTAAAATAATAATCATTATTCTTGTAATAATCAATGAATATCGCAAACTAAATAAATCAATGTTAATCTTAGTATATGATTTAGATTTAAATATTATATTATTGCTAAGAATATTTTAAACAAATGTTTCAAGAATAATTCCCTAAGTAATAATTATTAACATTCTCATTCATTCTTTTAATAATCATTGAATATCATATACTAAAAATTCAAATTGTTAATTTTAGGTTAAAATTTAGATTTAAATATTATTTGATTGACTTTCTCATTCGTTCATTCTATTTTATTATTTATTTCTCTTGATCATTTTTAGTATTTAAATTAGTAAAATTTATTCAATCTCATGCTGAATATCAAAAATTAAAAATTCAAATTGTTAATCTTAGTATATGATTTAGATTTAAATATTATTTGATTGCTTTAAATATTTTAAACGAATGCTTCAAGAATAATTCCATAAATAATAATAATTAACTTTTTCATTCATTCATTCATTAATTCTTCTTTATTAAGTATTTCTTTTTGTCGTTTTTAGTATTAAATTTAGTAAAAAAGTTATTCAATCTCATGTGAAGAATTTTCGTTTATATTGTTTTATATTCGTTTTTTGAATAAGAAAAGTTGTTGATTTTCCAATTTATTTTTCTCAAATAGCTTATTGAAATAATTTTTTATTGTCTTAATTTTATTTTCAAAGATTTTATTTGGATTTTTGTAACAAAAATATTTATTTTCTATGAGTTAAGAAACAGATCAAAAATAATGAATTGAAATTTTAGTAATTTGCTTACAATTAATTGTTATTTATCAGAAATTATTTAAAAAAATAAAAAGAGTAATTAAGCATTGTAACGATTTTAGTAAAAATCGAAAAAAATAAGAAAATAAATTAAAGATATTTAATCAATGAAATTATTTACTAAGCAATAGAAAAGGGTTTCTTTGGTCCCCAATTTTCAGTAGGGTTGGGATAGAACACAGTTTTTTATGGTTTTTAAAAGTAATCCATGTCGATGTTATTATTTTTTATATTTTCGATTTCGAGGTGATTAAGTTTGGAGAATTTAGGGTAAAATTGTTATTGTTTGCGCATAGCTCTAGAATAGGGACTGTTCTAGTCTTCTTATTCTGGCTGCTTTTAATTGGTTTAATTTTAATTTGGATACATGCTTTGACCTTCTTTAAATTTATCACTCACCCATTTCCATCCTCTCATTGTATCAAATATTACATTAGAAGGGGCGTTAGTTTTGTAAATCTTTTTCTCAAAAATTGATCTATTAATTGTATATCCAGCTCTAGCCAAAGCTCTCCTTTGATTTTAAGAAAAGATTAATATAAAATTTCCCATTTTTCTTATTAAATTTACTTAATGTGATTTGTGGTAGGATAAGTTTTTGCTTTATAGAAGCCATTGATCAAAGTCAAATTGTAGCCTAAAATAAACTTGTCGAATTCTTTCTCTTAAAGAATTGCTTCTAAATAAGCTGTCAACTTTAAATGAGACTGAATGAGCATAATTTTATTTTTGCTAAACACCTTTTCGCTTCCAGTTGATTACAAATTTCTAAGCACATTCTATACAAATTTGTAATTATGCAATGGCTAATTCCATAGAGGACCATCTATTTATTTATTTATATTCCGAATTAATATTTTATAAAATTCAATTAAAAATTATTTATTTTACTCAGAATCCAGCTAGATTCGCAAACATTGCAATTGCTTGGAACTTTTAGTTCATTCAATTTTAAGTCCATTGAAGACTCGAGCTTCAAGGTTCCGTTTTAAACATTTTCAATAGTATTTTATTAAACTTTGGCTATTGTATGAACGTGATAATTAGGGCACTCACTGCATTAGTAAACCTTTTATTTGATCAAAGAATTTCACTTGTTAAAAAATTTGATTAAAAAATAATCTGTTTTACCAAGCTCAACTTCTCAAGGGCTTTTTGAGATTCGACTCCGTTGTGGTGAACTCTGAAGAAAATCTTAATATAAAAATCACTCTAAAAAGAAACAACTGGTTCTATTGAATAGTTATTCTAAGTTGCTATGTCTAAAATAGTAGAATAAATAATTCTGATTGCATTCTAATTTTATTATTTATTTATTTATTTTTAAAAAAATCAAATAAAATACAACATCTTAATTACTTCATTTAAAGAAGCAAGTCTTATTCTAAACTTGTTATAACTGCTGTAACATTTTATAACATTAGGTCCACATAAAGTAGACATATCTGTGAACATAGCAGAAATCATACCGCCGTTTTTAACCAATTTAATAGCCTAACGAATAGTGTCAATAGAAGAACCATACTCTTCAATATCTATAAAATCATACAACTCAGGTTAGTCATATTTATCCATGTTCTCTAAAATTTTGCTCAAATAAAAGTGGTTTGTCTCTTTATTTACAACTAATTTATCATATAAAAACTACTTAAAAAAAGTTAATATGGATCTATTTTTTTTTCCAAAAAGTAAAAACAGGCTTTTTACATTTATTTATAATTTCTAAGATAATTGTATGAATTAATTATATAGCAGCTAAAATAATCAATAGATATTATTAAATTATAACATTTAGATTTAATGTCTACTTATCAAAAATATTAAACTTTTATTGTTTTGCTTATAATGAAATGAATTTACTTTTAAATTTAGACATGTCAATATCATTGTAATGAGCTAATAACTTGAAGTATTCAGGGAAGTTAATATCTTTTTCAATTACTGTTATATCTTGGATATACGATGGATCTATTTCCTTTGCGTATCTCAATGCCTTTACTCCTGAGCTTGCTTTACCTTACAAAATTCTGGCTCCTTTAAAACTCTATCCATCTTGATTTGATAGCAATTAAAGAAGATTGTATATAAAATGATTTATTAGAATTTTATTTACTCGTGATTTCTAAATCTTTAAAATATTAATTAGCCACAAGAAGAGTGATATCTCTTTCTACAAGTTATACAAGATTGTAGAACATTTTAAAGTGATTTTCTTTCTTATTTACTGTTTTAGAATCAATTGCTACTTCTCCTGTCTCTTTTTTATAGTTTTCAAGTATAATCTTTATTTGTCCATCATTTAGCTCAGTTAAATTAGAAAATTTCGCTGCTTCCTTGAATTTTTATGCCAACTCCTTGTGGCTTTCTCCTAAATTATTAACTATATCATCAAATTAAATATCTCTGTAATTATTTTCTAAACTCATGAAACTCTTAGTTCCCTTTTTATAATTTATTAATGTCAGCCCATAACATTTAAAATCGAATATCGCCCTTCCTAACTTTTTAATTAGCATTTGTTTTACTAAATTTTGCTTTCTAAACTATTCCTTTTATCTTTCTACTTTCTACTTTGATACTTTGATATTTTATTTAATTTGTATTGATAATTAATAAACTTAACAAGCATATCCTACCAATAGAAAATTCTTTAACCACCCATTCACAAAAGCAATAAAAAATATATACAACCAAGCAAACTAATAAGCAAACAAGCAAGCAAGAAAGAAAGAAAACAATATACAAATAAACAAACTAACAAGAAGGCAAGCAAGAAAGCAAACAATAAACAAATAAACAGATAAAAAAACAAACAAGAAAGCAAGAGCAAGAAAGTAAACAGATAAACAAATGAAAAAACAAACAAACAAAAAAATCTAATTTATTTTAATTAGTCAAACCAAATTCAATTTATTTGATACACTTTTTAATATGTATTCTTCCTTCCTTCCTTTTAATATTTTAATGCTAATATTTTTAGATTATTTTGGAGCAACTACAAAACTATTAAGATTAGCTCCTACATAATTTTAAATTATTTTTAAAAAATAGTTTAAATTATTTCATTTTTTATTTCATATTATCTAAACTTAAATTTTCTTCTAAAATTATTTAATACAAATTATAAATTATTATTTATGATAATTTTTTATGAAAATAAAAAAAAATATAGAAAATTTTTGGTGCTATTGTTTCAGATATTAGAAGACACCATTAAATAAAAAGTTACTTAGTAAATATATTAACTGTAATCTATTAGTTATATAAACATAAATAAGGATATTTTTAATAAAACATAAATTGGATAAGCGAAAAAAATTTTTCATAAAAAATTATTAATATAATGTGGAGACATAAAAAATTATTATTACAATGTATAGACATAAAAATTACTATCTAATTTTTTTAATAAATAAAAATTCTATATACAAATAAGATTAGATATCTTCCTTAGCTATAGCTATTGAGTTATACTAAAGGTTTTTCTTTAAAAATTCAAGAGCATTAATGATATCAGAATTTAATTTATTCCTTGTTTTCGTTACTAACTAAGATCCCCATTGAACTAAATACCCTATTTTAAAAAAAGAATTGAAATAATTTTTTATATTTGTATATTTATTTTTATTACATTTCTGACTATATATGCTCTTGTTGCTTAAAAATAAAAATATTTTTTTTAAAGTCAAATAAATTTTTAAGTTAGTATAAATATTATGCAGAAAATAATAAACATAATTAATTTATATTTATTGGTTTTTTACATCTAGTAAAATACATAAATAAAGTCCTTAAATGAAAATATTTATTAAATAAATGAATGAAGATTTAAATAGAGCTTTTCTAAATTAATATGCATTTATTTTTAAGATAATTTTATGAATTAATTTGATAACAACTTAAATAATTTACAGATACTATTAAATTAGAACATTTAGATTCAATGTCTACTATCAAAAATATTAAAATTTTATTGTTTAGCTAATAATAAAATCAATTTATTTTACTTTTAAATTTAAATTTATATATTTCAATATCATTGTAATGAGCTAATAACTTGAGGTATTTAGGGAAGTTAATATTTTTTTCAATTACTGTTATATCTTTGATATATGATGGATCTATTTATTTTATGTATCTCAATCTCTTTATCACTGATCTTGATTTGCCTTTTACAAAATTTTGGCTCCTTCCTTTAGAATTCTAACATCTTTATAACACATTATGAAGATTGAATATAAATTGATTAATTAGAATTTTACTTTCTTGTGATTTCTAAATCTTTGAAGTATTAATTAGACGCAAGAAGAGTTATATTCATTCTACGATTTATAAAAGATTGTAGAATATTTTTGAGTGATTTTCTTTCTTGTTAAATGTTTTCTAATAAATTGTTACTTCTACTGTCTCTTTTTTATATCTTTCAAGTATAATCTTCATTTATTCATCATTTAGCTTAGCTAAATTAGAGGATTTTTGCTGCTTCCTATCATTTTTATACCAACTCCCTTGTGTTTTTCTCCTAAATTGTTTACAGTATCATCGAATAAAATATTCTCTAAAGTTATGAAACTCTTAAATCCTTTTTTATAATTAATTAATGTCAGTCCATAACATTTAAAATCAAATATGGCTTTTCTTAACTTTTTAATCAGCATTTGCATTACTAAATTTCGCTTTCTAAATTACTCTTATTAGCTTTCTACTTTCTACCATGATACTTTATTTAATTTATATTTATAATTAATAAGCTTAATAAGTATATCCTATAAATAGAAAATTATAGAAATACCCATTTATACTTAAAAGCATTAAAAAAAAATACATATATATAAGAAAGCAATCAAACAAACAAAAAACAAAAAAAACCTAAACTAATTTAATTACACAAGCCAAATTCAATTTTTTTGTTATATTTTTTGATATGAATCTTTCCTTTTAATATTTTAATGCTAACATTTTCGGATTATTTTGGAGCCAATACCTAGAGAGACTATTAAGATTAGATTTAATTTTTTTGATTCTCACAGAGGTATAGTTGGAATTAATTTATTAAGTGATGGTACAAACTCATAAATTTTTTAATTCCGAACATTATTATTAAGCACACTTTCAATTATATTAGTTTTCTATATAATATTTCTTATTCGAGAACTAATTCGAAATTAAAAAATAAACACCAATTTACTTTATCAAAGTGAGTAAGATTTTATCATTTTTTATTTTTAGTGATCAAATATTTTTTGAAATCTTTTTCTATTACATTTTGAAATAGACCTGTTTATGCTTCTAGAAAATTCACAAAATCATAAAGAATTTTTGATTATTAATTTTGACAAGATTTTATTGGAATCTTATGACTTTGATGATAGAAATCGCCAAAAATAATTTTCTTTATTAATTTTATACTTTTGCCATGAGCTTGTCATCAATTTTAAATATCCAAATACATTCATTTCCTCTTTACAATCAACTTTTCTATTTCATAAAATAACAAGCTGAAATATATTTTAAATAAATGTATAGAAAAGTTAATAAAATTGTAATATGTATTTTTATTTAGTCTCATAAGCTTTAAAAAATATTTAATAAAAAAATGTAAAAAGATAAATTTAATCAATCTTTTATTTCTTAAGCTTTTGCTTTAATTAAGCCTCAAAAAATATAGAAAAATTTTAATTTATACAAATTACAGTATTTACTATTTATTCAATAATGAAAATAGAATAAATAAGGAGATTGGTTTATTAATATATTTTTTTAGAATAGTAGAAATTAATTAAAAATATTTGAAAAGGAAAACCACTAATTTTTTTAATTAATCAAAATTATTAATTTATGATCATAATTAATAAATAAATAAATAATTAATTAAAGAAATATAAATGGGAAATCAATAAAAAAAAATAGAGTAATAGAATACCTCTTTAGATATACTAGAAGATGTATCCATCATTTTTAATTTTATTAATAATTATATAATCTTTTTTTTAAATAAAAAGTTAATAAAATCTAACTTGAAAGCTCAAACTCATATTAACTTACAGTTAAAGTAAGAAATAAATATAAATTTTAATTCATTCATATTTAATCATAAATAAATCTTTCAAAATAAACATTATTTTTTTTGATAAAAATAAATATTTTAAAACTTTCTTATTCTCATTTTTATAAATTTACAAAATTAAGAATAAATAAAACTTCATTAAGTTAATTCATTTATTCATTCATTTTTTATTCATAAATTAAATTGTTTTGCTATTATTTATAAAATAAATAGAAATTGTACTCTTAGTAATGAATAAATTGCTAAACTTAACAATTCTTTAGTATAATGTTAAAAATTAGAATCTTTAGTACTAAATCTTAAGTAATAATTTAACTTTATTATCTTAAATATCATAATTACTTTTTGCTATCAATAGTAAGGAAAATATTTCAGATGATTAGATAAATGAATTATATGCTAAATATCCTGGCATAAAGAATTGGGTTGAAACTGGTAATAATGTGAGGTAAATATATTTTTTATGTTAATAAATCTTAACCCTTTGACGTGGGGCTCTATATTAAAATTATAGAATATAGAGGTATCGAATTTTTTAAAAATATCTCAAATTTCCGATAAAACTGACTAAAAATTCCATCACTTTTTATAACCCTTGTTATTTCTACCATTTATAAGAACTAAAAGTTTGTTAGAATCTTGCTTTTAAAATAAAAATAAATAAATATTATTTTATATCTTTTTCTTAATTTAATAAATTAAAATAGTTTTAATTTTATTTTATTTAAATAGCAATGATTAGATATATACCCAAATTTTGTTTTTCCAAAGTATTTTTTACAGAGAATATGAAGCTAGTCAAGAACTTAGGTAAAATAGAAATAACTAACTAACTAACTATTGGTATTTAATTGATTTATTTTTTAATTTGAAAGATAAAATGAAATTAAGGCTTAAGGAAAGATTCTATTTGAACAAACTATGAGTAATCTAATTAATCTGAACAGTTTATAGCTAAATTTAGAGTATAATTTTTTTAATTTATTTATTTATTTATTTATTTTTAATATAATTAATTTCATCTTTCAAAAATTTTAAAAATGTTTGATTATCTAAACTAAATTATTTTCAATAATTTTTATAATAAAAGTGGAAATTAAATTGGAGATGAAGGAGCCATTTGGATTTGCAAAGTATTACGTAGATGCAAAACACTTACGAACTTAAATCTGTAGCTTTGGTAATTTTATTTTAATTTTATTAAAAAGTTAGTTATTTTTATTTATTTATTTATTGTATTGTATTGTTTAAAAAGAAATAAATTATTTATTAAAAATATTTGTTTGTAAAGGAAAAATAGAATGGGTGACAGAGGGATATCGAGTATTGCAGAAGGTATTAGTAGTTGTGCTAAACTGACAACTTTAACTTTAAATGCAGTGTAAATTTTATTGATTGATTATTGTTAAAAAATTATTATTTAATATATTTAATACCTAATTTTCTAAACAAACATAAAAAAGTGAAAATTTATTTGGAAATGACGGTGCAGTTTCTTTTAGTACAACATTTGGTAGCTGTAAAATGTTGACTCATCTAGATATAAAATTCTCGTAACTAATTTTCATTTTTTTTAAGGATAAATTTAAATTAATTATAGAAAAATTAATAAGTGCTTTAATAAGTCCTTAAATATTTTTTAAGTTGCCATTAATTTTATTTATGTATCTATCGTCTTTATATATTTTATTAGTAACAATTAAATTGGAGAAGAAGGAGCACAGGTTATTTTTTTAGTTTTAGGTAGCTGGAAATTACTTACTAATTTAAAGTTGGCACTTTGGTAATTTTGATTTTTCATTTTTTGATAATTTAAAAAGATTTTTTTATATTTTTTTAAATATTTTTAGCAATGTTTAAAATTTTTTAAATTAATCGATTTAAGGATGATAAATTTATTTATCAGTGTTTGATTTTTTATAATAAAAGTAACAATTATATTGGGGATGAAGGAGCATATAATTTTGGAACAGCATTAAGTAACTTATAGTTACTTATTAATTTAAAATTTCATCTTCGGTAATTTTAATTTTACAATTTTGTTATCTTTCTATCTAAAAAACTTAATTAAATTTTATTTTTGAGATTACTTTAAAACAATTAATTAATTAATTAATAATTTGATTTATTTTGTTTGAATAGAGAAAATAAAATTGGTGATAAAGCAGCAATAAATATTGGACTAGGTTTAAGTAAATGCAGTCAACTTAAGAATCTAGATATTGGAATGGAGTATATATATATCTCTTTTAATATTATTTTTAATTATATTTTTTAAAAGAAATAAATTTAAAAAATTTTAATTTTAATTTGTTTTTTATTTTTATAAATTTATTTATTATTTTTACTAATAAAAGATTAAATTAAATTGGAAATGATGGAGCTTCTGCTATTGGTCGGGCTATTGGTTAATGTAAATTCCTTGCTAATCTCTAGTTTTAGATTTAGTAACATTAATTTTATATTTATTTATTTATTTATCTATCAATAACTTGCTTATAAAAGTTTGAATTATTTTATACATTTTGAATTAATTAAATTCTAGCTAGAATAAAATTTATCAATTAAAATATTTATTTATTTTATTTTTAAAAGTCTAAATTAAATTGGAGATAATGGAGCATCAAATATTGGGTTAGGTTTGAGTAACTGCACTCAACTTACAAATTTGCATTTTAATTTAGAGTAAATTTGTTTCATTTATAACTTAAAAAAAAATTATGTAAAAGCTTTTTATTCAAACTGAATTAAAAAAACCTTAATTTTTATAAAACGTTTGTTTTAAATTTTTAATTAATAGCTAATTAATTAATTAATTTATTTATTTTGTTTGAAAAGGGATAATAAAATCGGTGATTAAGGAGCATCAAATATAGGATTAGGTTTGAGTAACTGCACTCAACTTACGAATTTACAATTTAACATTTGGTAAATTTATTTTATTTACAATTTTTTTAAAAAAATTATGTCAAGGTTTATTTATTTTTAAATCTTAATAAAATAAACTTGAAATTTATAAATGTGTTCAATTTTTAATTAAACATGATTTGTATTTATTTATAAAAGCGGAAATTAAATTGAAGATGATGGAGCTTCTAGTATTGGTACAGCTCTTGGTAGATGCAAATTCCTTACTTATCTCTATTTTGATGTTTCGTAAAATAATTTTATATTTATTTATTTATTTATTGATTGATTGATAACTAAAAAAAATTAGAATTATTTTTTATTTTGATTTAAATATTAAAACAAAT